TAGGTTCATTAAGAGGTGAGCTGTCTTAGGTATCCGTTTTTGTGCCTAATAAATTGACCTAGAACTCTGAAGATAAAATCTTCAATCAATGTAGAATTATTTTGTTTTTTTTCCCGACACATTAAAATAACAAGTACGATGGCTTTTGTAAGTTTTACATTGATTATACCGCTAGATGAATTTATTAACAAAGAGCAAGGGTTATTTACCCCTAATTATTACACGATTGATGTTATTTGTTCTTGGATTACTTTCAATGTCCTCTTTCAAAAAAATATTAAGACTCTATATTGTATCTTTCGTAAGATTTTCTTGATTTACTGGACGCCTACACTTGAAAGCAGATTATGCGAAACATGAAAAAACAAAGTATCCGGTTGAACAATGCCACTAGAAAGAACAAACAAAAGGGAACTCAAAAATCGGGCTCGGTTGGTCTCTTCGGTTTTGAGTTCTCTTTCAAATTCAAATAAGCAAGGCTCTATCTTGTATCATTGTTGAGATTTTCTTCATTTACTGACCAAACGCATCCTTTTGGAAACAACAAGAAACAAACCTTTCCACTCGATAGGAGCAAAAATGGCGGCTTGCAATATTATCCTAAGCTTTGAAGGCCTCACATTGATTTGTTCATATGCAAAAGCGATATAGACTCAAGATTAATGATTACGAAACCAAAGAGAAGTTCATCAATAACATTTTGTATTATCGTTTAATATCAACACATTCGAGTTTTCAACTTTATTTAAAGTTTTTTTCACTCTTTCACAAGACATGGAGAACTGATCACATTAGTTTTTGATAGAATAGACAATGCTCTACAGGATGGCAGTAGTAGTTATTCAAAAAATCTTATTTGGGAATTATTACATCGGCTTGGCCGAACGTGACGGAATGATATTTTTTCCTATCTTGCGATCTCTGTCTTCCAAACCACGCAATAGATTAGGCTGAAAATTTTCAAATGTAAGTCTGCTAGTTCTCTCAGCTCTGAAAGTTTCAATTTGATTCGTCGCATTGATCAAAAGTTATAGCGAAAATAGAGGTCGTGACGAAATGACGAAAAAATGGAAACTTTTTTCCAGGGTTTCCCAAACTTCCTCAGAATTAACACACTTCTCCGAGAAAGTTTTAGTAGGAAAGTTGTAGAGAACTTTTTGGATTTTCAGAATTTCTATTTCCTTTTCCTTTTCGACCATAGATGTGGAGAAAAATGTTGCCGTGACGAAATCCCATTTCATGATCGAATTTCATCTGTTTTCCTGCTTCCAATTCAGAAGGTTTCATCTTCTTTTTTGTCGATAGTTAAAACTTACAGTGGATCATCATTCAGGTGTCCTCTACACGATGCACTGAAAGAAAAGATCAAAGTGTTTTGTTAAAGCTTCGAAAACTCTCGTAGAAAAAGAACTCTCAAAACATTTTGTCAGAAATTAGCGAAAAGTGGTGAAAACTAAAGTTATTTAGAAAACACCTTAGCCGACATTCGAACTTCAAACACAATAGTGCATTTTGTAGAGGATTTAATTCTCTATCTGGTAGCATAATTGTCGAAATTTTCGAACGAAATTGAAATTAAAAAATTTAGAAAAGTTAAATTTGAATGTTTTAATTCTACATCAAATTTTCGTTAAAAATAAAGTTGATATCCCCAATCAGCATAAGAAACTGCATCTGGTGATATCTATTAAATCCTAGTTTGAGAGAAAACTTTCCGTCAACCGTCTGATTCGGAGATCATCGTTAGCCGGCCAAGTCGACATGTGTTTTTTCTCAGCTAATCAGTACGTTTCCACATCAAAAATCGGCAGGTGTACTTGAACTTGAATTGATATGTCGAAGAGTGAAGGCGATGAACTTTTTCCTATTATTTAGAATTTAAGAATACACTTTCCTTAAGTCAACAGACATCGAGAGCGAACATTTTTCTACAAAAGGAGGGCTCGAACAGATCTCTGCGACCTTTAAGTTTTGCCAGATGAAAGAGAACACTTGCCTATATATACGTGAAGTTTTCACGATGAAGTGGTAAGCTTTCGCCGAGTTATGAATTAATTAAGTTTGAATTTGCATTGGACTTTTAATTATAAGAGCCTATTTGTAATAAGAGCTGTATTTGGTTTTTCCAAAAATTGTTCTTCTGGAATAATTTGAACCCGTTTTTGTATTCGTACGAGATTTCTAGAAGCCTATCTTAGCTTGTTTATACAGGTAATACAGAAAATGTACAAGGAATGTGTTTATTCCTTTTCTCAGATTTGACACAAATGTACAACTCCTGAGCAAATGAGCTGTTTTTTGACTCAACAGACATCTAGAGCAAGCATCCCTCTACAATATGTGGGATCGAATAGCAGTCTGCGATCTTTCAGTGTTGTTTTAAGGTTACTTTAATGCAAAAGTTGAGAACTCGAATGTGTTGATAATAAGAGTTGGAGACCCATAGAAACAACTGAATAAAAATCTTATGAAAATCACTGATTCAAAAATATTTTCATTCCATGTTGAAAGACGGCGCGTAGGCTATTCAAATATGTATAAAATGAAAAAGAGTCATTTTTCTAAAATATTCTGAGCAATGAAACCCTTAAAACAAAATGATTCTACATTCATTGAACAGTTTATTTTTAAAATTCTAGGTGACGTGTTAAGCGTAAAAAGATATTCAAAACAGCTGACCTCATAATGCTGATAAAGATTTATTTCTAGGGAGATAAAGGCTACTGTTACATACCTTACTCGTACATGTGCAATCCTAAACGGTGTTCTCAAGCTTATGCTGTAAGAGCAATGGGAACAGATCCCAAGGAAGAGGAGGAACACATAAAATCTACATGGGATTGGGTGGATGATGTCGATTATAGTTGGAGTCATCGTCATCCTGAAACATCTCACGGAGACTATGACAGCGTTAATGATGATTGCATTGTGGTGGAGTTTAGACAACCCTACGATTTTTGGAACCATCCTCAACCTTACAGAGATGTTATTTTTGGTGATGCTACTGCAGAAGATTATCGGCGGAAAAATTACGACGCCCACAATACTCAAGGTCGATTTGATATGAACAATATAGAAGGAGGAATGTATGGTGTGATTAGGAATTTTAATAACAGCAACATGCAAAGAGGAATACCCGTTATGGATAGCAATTTTAATAACAGCAACATGCAAAGAGCGATGCCCGTTATGGGTAGCAATTTTTTCTGCTTCCGCATATAATCAAAAGTCCACTCAATACTTCCTCAGCTCCAGCGTCGTCTTCCTCGGGTTGACAATCGTTATCCCATCTTCAGCTTGTGATTCTTAAAAAGTGATTTTTGTCTGACAAAAAAATTTCAATAAAGTAGAGAAAAAGAAATACTTCCGGTAGTGGTACTTATTATAGCTCATTCTTGAACACTTTCCTGAGGTCACCTTTTAGTGACAAATAGTTCATTATGTAGAGAATTATCTGCTGTACAAGATCAGCTTGTTGGATTTTTGAAACAACTTTTTCAATACCAGATTTCAAGTCTAATACTTGAAAAGTAGTCTGTTTTGTTCGGTTCGTTTTGCTCTTTCGATAGGTATATTCATCAAAATTGTAAAGCTCAGAACGAAAGAGAAAAAATTATAATGCAAAAACATACGATTTCTGAGCAGTTTTTTCAGGACTTCTCGAAAAAATTTTATAAATCGGTAAGAAAAGATTTCTAAGGCTTTGAAACTTGAATTTCTGAGTTATTTTCAACGGAGAATCGAATGCGCAAGGTTAGAGATAAAACTAAATTTTCAGCGGATAAATCATTCTTGCACACATACTTGATCGTTGTACGAACCGTCTCTTAACACCTCCTAACACATCTCGCATGGTACAAGATGAGCGTACCCTCATCTCAACAACAAGAAAACGGCTTCTATCAAAAACGTGTAAAAAAATGGTCTTGATTGTGTCGTGGTCATAATCTAATTAGAAGTTGCCGCGATTGTATCCGATTATGTCCAACAAATTATAATTCCAGGACAGTTTAGTATCAATACTGATGGTCAAGCGATGACCCGAATTCCTGATATATGTACTTGTTCTTCATGAACATGTTTCACCTTGTAATTTAAACGATCTGATTGTTGAATAACTTTGAAAGGACCGTAATATTTGGGTGAAAATTTCTTTAAATTTTTGTTCATCATTTGTTTTAGTAACACCAGTTGTCCAATTTTTAGGTTTGTTTGATCTTGACGTCTAATGTCATAAGTTTGTTTATAGATATTTTGGTGTTGTCTAATGTTGTGCTGTTGATTTTGCTTGTTTTAAAAACTTAATTAATGGAGAGTAGCTTGTGGTTATAAAACAACTGATGGTGGAGCATCAAATGGAAGAATTGTATCTCGCCATACATTAATTTGAATGGTTCAATACCAGTTGTTGCTTATTTGGATGTATTATAAGCAAATGTGACAAATGGTAGATAATCATCCCAATCTGATTGTTGTTCATTAACATAGGTACCGACTGAACACGCTAATGTTGCATTAAATCTTTCGGTTAGGCCATTAGTTTATGGATGGTATGTTGTTGTTTTAATATGATTAACAAGACAGAACATAAAAGGGATATCAAAAAAATTACTACTGATAACATTAAGCCGGTTGCACAACTTCAATCGTTGTACAGAATATAGACACAGAACAATGGATTTAGTTTGGCAGTTTACTGCAAAGCTAAGTTCATGTGTTCGAATCTCTACTCGTACAAAATTGATTTTGTGTTCTTCGATAGTTTTAGTTTAGAATACTGTAATGGAATATTTTTCCGTTTGTATTCTGACAGAATAAAGCTTATATTATGTGATTAACACTACAACGGGAAGCAATAGTTTGAAATACATTAATCATAAAATGACTTCCTTTATCTGTTAATAATTGTTTTGGAACATCATATTGTAAAATTATCTTTTCCACCAGAAATTTAGCTGCTGTTTCAGCAACAATTGGATGTTGCTTGTGTAACAGCCCATCGGGATAAATAATCCGTACACACTAAAATATATTCATTACCCGCTACTGATGATGGTAGTGGACCAATAAAATCTAACCCCATCAAATCCAAAACACCTGTTGGTGGTTCAATTGGTTGTAATCTTCCAGTTGGTCTTGTTCTTGATAGCTTGAATTGTTGACATTTGGTACATGATAATACGTGTTGTTTAATTGTTATACATTCTTGGCCAATAATATCTGTCACGAATCTTGTTCCAGGTTGTGGTGATGCCTAAATTACCACTTGTTGAACTACCATGATAAGCCTCTAATAAACTTTTAACCATTGATGTCGGTATTAATGCTAGTTTTGATTTTGCTCGACCTCGACGTTGAATATTTTTGTGTATAACACCGTTCTGTAATTCTAATGATTTAATATGGTCACCATCGGTTAATTTATCATACAATGGTTTAATGTTCGTGTCCTTCAATTGATGTTGTTGAATTGTGGTTGAATCAAACGGGGAGATAACGGCCATCGTTGTATTTTGAATGTTGTTCATTTCTCCGCTCATTAAATCTAACTGTTGTTCAGCAACATCTGGTTTGTCAGCAGGATACCTTGAGAGACAGTCAGCAACACAGTTTGCTTTACCAGATATGTGTTTAATGTTAAACAAATATTCTTGTAGTTGCAATGACCACGATCTAATCGACCGTTTTTAGATGATTGTTTATTTAGCCAACATAATGGATGATGGTCTGTAAGAACGATAAAATCACGCGCATATAAATAAGGACGTAATTTAGTAATACACCAAACCAGTGCTAAGCATTCTTTTTCCACTGTTGAATACTTCGTTTCTCGGGATGATAATGAACTTGATAATTATTAGATTGATCTAAGCTTACTATCTTCCGTAACTTGACGTAAAACACCACCAAGACCACAGTTGAATGCATCAATGTTTAATTTTAATGTTAGTTAAGTTACATCGGACATTCTTTTTCTCATACTGAATGCCTGATTCGATGTACCGCTTAACGTTGCATCATTCAATATTTCCGTAGAAGTTTTTGCTCGATCACTTATGAATAATTGATCAAGATAACCGTGGAACCCGTTTGATCCAACGTTAATAGCCATTGTGTGGATAGTGATTCCATATCCAATAGTTTCTGTACGGCCTATTAATTACACTCCTGAATTCAGACTTTCATGAGGATTAATTTGGTATATAACACTCTGTGGCACCATTTATTCTTTAAGCTGTGGAGGGGGCCGTAGCGTTTTTGTTACACTCTGTATATAGATTGATGTACTTTAAGTAGATAAATTCCACGAGTCTATGCTCGAAACATTGTTCTTACTAATAAGGATTTTGTCCTCTAATAAAGAGTAATTAATGATAAGAATAATGGGAATTAAGCGACTTCTTAATCTTTCATGGTTTAGGCGCGACATCGGATTTCTCCGGAGCCCCAGGATTGATATTTCTTTAGCTATGGTAATCACGAAAATAAATGGAAACATAGGTAATCGATGATGCTGAATCTCGTGGCAACGTTTGTTCTTCGAAAAAAATTCAAAACCTAGTGAAAATCTATATTAGGTGAAACAACCCATTTTTGCCGATTTTTGAGTAAAATTAAAAAATTCATAACCCAGTCAACATGTGCGAAGATGTGCTCTATTTTATCTGCTTAATACGAACTTTTACTTGAGAATAGTAAAAAACATTCTTGTACTTCGGAAGATTTGTAGAAAACCTTTCCAAAAACCAAAGTATTTTCCGTTGATCAAAACTTTTATTGAACTTCATGGTATAATGTAGATAAAATAGAGTACATCTTGATATTCTGACATAGTTTGGATGGATCTTGGCTGGGTTATGAATTTTTTAATTTTACTCAAAAACAGGCAAAAATCGGTTATTTCACCTCATGAAATATAATTTGCTCTGTAAACAGGAGTCTCAGAAATCGATGGTGTTTTAAAAAAACATTATATGTCTTTACACTCTGACAACAGTATACCGTCTTCTTCTAACTTGAACGCATTTTTCGAAAGTTATAAATAAACTGTTGATCATTAATTCGATAAACAGTTGGCAGAATAATTGCATCATTTAGAACAAACTATTGTAATGCACAAATTTAATTAAAGTAAGTACAGGGCTTTTTCCTAACTGTATGAGTTAGATATTTATGGATATTGAGGAAGAATTATTTTAATCCTTTTACTCTGGAATATTTGTGATAAAATAATTAAAACAAGATGAAAACACGATGAAAAATACGTTCCTCGTTTATGTAGAGATAATATTTTTCAGAAATAAAGCCAAATTAACAAAGTAGAAAAGGTTGACATCCCAATATATATGTTCCTAGCAACATGGCATTTGTTGCCGACGATATTTACTCTTACAACATTAACTCTTAAAAATAATTCTTCAAAATATGTCCTTTGTAGCACGAGTCTAGATAAAAACACTCAGCGCCTATTAAGACGCTAAGGAAAAAGAATGCTTTGAAAAGTTTTAAAGAGGAACTGCTATTTGTAATGGCAAATTGACGAGAATCACTCCCGTAGCCAATAAGTACAACTTAGGCTGCGTTCTATATACCGTATCTGTTTACTATAGCAATATCATGAGTAATGCATATAGCAAGGATTCTTTAAGACATATGCGTACTTCAAAAAACTGTCAGAAAGCGTTTAGGAAAAGGTTTTTACTTCGATTAAATCGGAAAGGGTTTTCGCTTAAGTTTCCAAAACCTTTTTTCTTTGTAGCTTGTTAGGACCATATAAGGACTTTGAAATGAATTAAATCTTTTGAGTACAGGATAATAGGATTTTTATATATAGAGATATGGGATTTTAGAACTTATATGGAATGATCCGGCAGTCAAAGAATGTTACGATGGAAGAAGGGAATATCAACTGCGTCAACGAACTTTGTAGTTCGTTCTTATCTCTTATTATAGCAGTATTTCTTCGAACAGCAGTGGAAAAAATATAAAAAGGAAAATAAGGGCTTTTAAAGATTTCCTGATGTTCGTCTGAGTTTTTCACGTCCTTGAAAATGATTTCGTGATTCATAATATGGTAATTGCTGCTATTCAACATCATTTGTAAGAATTCTATAGCTTGTATCGTAATAATAATACTATTAACTATGTCGCTTTGTATCTGAAATCTAAGTCGTCTGATTCGTAATTAAGGGAGAAAAGCTAATCAATAGTAGGAAAACTATACCAAAAAGCATAGTAAAGAAAAGATTTAAGGGAAAAAGTAAGACCTCTTTAACAGCTTATTGAGCAGGATCATTTTAGTTCTGTAATTTTTTGTTCAACTAATAATACGTTTTACCTCGACCCACGAAAAATGCCATCAGATTTTTTTCGTGATAGATACAAACTTAATTCTTTCGCCATTCGATTCCCTATGAAATTTGCTACAAACGCACGGATCTCTTTGTCGAATTTGTTTTCCCTTGTTCAGTTATGAGGTTTTTACCGAAAAAGGCTGAAAAAGTGCGAATTTTTCGAAAAATCCTTCAGATGATGAGCCCATAGCTCAGTGATATTTCCACCCAGAGACCTGCTATTATGGTTTTCTACGTAAAAAGCAATGCTAAACACGTTAGAAATGCGTTTGAGAGGTTTGGAGTTTTCCAAGTAGGTCTTCCAAAAAACCAGAACTCCGAGAAACCTCAAGAGCCTTTCGGAAATCTATTTCGACCCAAGCGCATCATATGGACAGAGCGTCAAATTCTGAGCTAAATGAGACATCCTCCAGCCTTCCAGCACATCTCCAGGCTGAGATACGACCATTTTACTTCCAGAGATCCGGCTGATCCGAAATCCTTTAAGAGATTTGCCAATAACTCAGCCTAGAAAGACGCCGGAAAGCCCGGGAAAATCCCATTTCACTCAGAACTCGATGCACATTCAAATGCGATGCCTCATGAAGGATTGCACAGTAATGGCGAGGTTTACTGGAAAACCGGCTCTCTGGAAATCTCTCTTCCTGGGCTTTCCAGCGTCTTTCTAGGCTGAGTTATTGGCAAATCTCTTAAAGGATTTCGGATCAGCCGGATCTCTGGAAGTAAAATGGTCGTATCTCAGCCTGGAGATGTGCTGGAAGGCTGGCGGATGTCTCATTTTGCTCAGAATTTGACGCTCTGTCCATATGATGCGCTTGGGTCGAAATAGATTTCCGAAAGACTCTTGAGGTTTCTCGGAGTTCTGTTTTTTTGGAAGACCTACTTGGAAAACTCCAAATCTCTCAAACGCATATCTAACGTGTTTAGCATTGCTTTTTACGTAGAAAACCATAATAGTGAAATAAAGAAATCAATTTTAATGGAAATGTAACATTATTTAAATGAAACATGTTTATCATCGCTTTATAATGTTAAAGCTGGACAAATAATGAAATTTTGTTGACAATATCAAATATTATTATCAAATGAACAAATAAATAACCTTAATTTCACATGTGACCAATTAGAACCAGAATATCGACAAAATTATCGTACAACATTATCATCTGTATCCAACCTTTTAGACCCATATATACATAAAAGGAATAAAAAATGGCAATATTTAAATCAAATAGTACGAATGAAATGAATGAAAGTATAGTAATTGCCTATTTAAAACACATAACTGAGTTCTTGCTTGATTCACAAACGGTAACATATTTATCAAAAGCAAATTTACTCGAACAAATGCTAACAATAATTGATGAAAACTATGACCAAAATAAACTTACAATCTTTTTATATTTTTCAAAGGCCTAAATGGCCACTCTCCACTTTCTCGATTGAGTCTAATTCGTTTAAACACAGCAAGAAGATTAAATAGGTTAGCGTAACACTCAAGACAGGTAGAAGTTCCTTTTGCTCGGACGGCGACTGTTTTACAATTTTTTTATATCAAACTGCTCCAGATTGGAATCAAACCCTGTCAGAGGCAGTTGTCTCATTTACGACTATTCGAAGTTTTAAAATAAAATTACGGTATGTTTATCTGTGTTCACATGCTTAGACTGTCAGTCTTGTTGCTACCAAAATAAAAACCAATCAACCAATCAATATTAACAGTTTCTTTCATAAATAAATTTATTTTTATTATTAATATAAAATTTTTAAATTTAATTTTGTTGGATGGATAGACAAACCGTTAATGTTCTTTTCCTAAAAAAGTAGTATATATCGATGTGCGTGAGTCACATGTGTAGGCTGTTTCTTCTTTTTATTCAAAACTTCTCGTCAAACCGAAAAAATGTTGTTACTGATTCAGATATTCGCTCGTTTTAGAAAGTAAACTAAATTACTACTTAGAAATATTCTTTATTAACCCTTTCCACTCGTGTGTTACAAAAACAATATGAAATAATCCGAGTGGAAAAAGTTAAAGTATTTGTCAATGAATATGTATAATATATTATATATTTACTGGAATAACAATTAACCCGAGTCGATGTTCTTGTTAAGCAAGAATGTAAGATCTTGTGACATTTGTTGCCCAAGAATCGTTTCTTGCGCACTCTTGCCTCTTTCTTTCCCGAAGAAAGTATTTTTCTTGCGGTAGAAAAATATATGAAAACTTTCTTGTGACAAGAAACTATCTTTCTTGTGCAAGAAAGCAAGAACACTTTTGTTGTCACTTCTTGCTGTAACCAGCTTCACTGCAAGAAACAAGATCTTGCAGTAAAAAAAATCAGTCTTGTGTTAACGGATGAAAGCGTTAGCATGCGTTTCTTGCAGTGAATAAAATCGCTACAAGAAGTTCTTTCGTTCTGTAGGCAGTGCAAATTTTGTCCTATGTAAATTTCTAACGAAGAAAAACATGCTTCATATAAATGCATATATATATACATACTACTTGTCTAACATTTTGAAAAGTAAGGTGTAGGCAATTCAAACTTTCAGTAAAAAAGTTTTTTTTCGAGTTTTATTACATCATTTGATAGAGCTTGAGCTGCTGATCACGAAAACCTATTTTTTAGCCTTACCAAATACTTCCTTCCAATCGGAAAATACGAAATACTCGAAAGGTGTCTTTTGACATCTTCGTTTTTTGGACATCTTTTTCAAAATATACAAAATTGTCTACTTCGCTCTTCTTTCCAGCTTCTGAAAATAATTTTTTCAGATTCAGCACCAAAAACTGAATATAAAAAAGCTGTTCAATTGATACCAGACCCAAAACTCTATTGGTGGTGGCGCTTCGAATCTCCTCGAGTCCACAAGGTATAGATCGATTTTGTAAACCTATCTAGTTGTTTTACACAAGCGATGGAGGCAAATATTTTATCTCATTCATACCACCAGTCAAAAAGTTACGCATCGCTTTTTTTCTCTTTCCTTTTCTTTGTCGAGAAAAATCGTGTTTACTGATACCATAGGATAAAGGGGAAGGTCATTTTTAAATAAAATGCATCTTTTTCATCCAAACTGAGTGACAATTTGTCCATATAGGTAAAAACTGCTGACAAATCGAATGAACATACTTCTGAGATCTTTAAAGACCCTTCGGAGGGTCTCTGAAAATCCCCCATTGGAAAAAAACATAGTTTTCTGATATTAATCGATATTTTATGATCTTTAATACACAGATTAATCACTGTTCATGCTTGGCTATTTAATATGAACGGGGACATGCAAAATAAACACATTGAAATAGAAAAATATACTCGTTAAGATTCGTTTATGTTTTTATTTGATGTTCTACGATGCGATTGAACTGTCGTATTGCAGAGTTGACTGAAAAACAGTTTTAATACATCAGCATATGTTTGACCTTGGGAATATGCTTCGATTGAACGCCAAAAACGCCGGAATAATTTTAATGCAATTTTCCGTTCGGCAAAATGTATACGAGAATCCGATATTAATTTTTATCATTTTTTCAAAACTTTGATGTGTACGTGAACGAACAAATGCTTTTTGATTGCACCAAAGACCTTCAATTGCATTTAGTTCACAGTGATATTTAGCGCAGTATATAATCTTCACATTATAGTTGATCGCTAACATCTCAAGTTTTGTAACCTAGACAATACAGTAAATTATATAGGATGAAATATCTTTCAAAATATGGAATGACTTTCACTTACATTTTGAAAAGCTCGATGTTTTGAGAGTATTTCACGAATTTCATCTAATTTAACCTTAGCCGGTAATTGTACACCTAATTCTTTAGATAGTTCAACTAAACCTTTTGATTTATCTTTGTTTGTCCCCTGATCAAAATAACAATCAATAACTTTTGTTGCACCATTTTCATCGACATATTCGATTTTCTCCACCGGACACCGAGTACCAATATTTTTACCGAATTCTTGTAGCGAATATGCTTTCTTAGTATGAGTTCTTGCATTGTCCACGATGATTTCTATATGATTATTCTTGTATTCTTGTTTGAGTTCTAGCAT